CAATACATTTAAGTATAAGATAAGACCTGTTTTCAGAGAATATATTTTATTTGTTCTTAATTTTAATGTAAGTATAAAATTCTAACTTAAGTATATATCTATCTGTCTGTCTGTCTGTCTGTCATCTATCTATCTATCTGTCTGTCTGTCTATCTGTCTATCTGTCTATCTATCTATCTATCTATCTGTCTGTCTGTCTGTCTGTCTGTCTGTCTGTCTGTATTATATCCATCCATCTATCTATCCATCTAATAATTAGATGATGGAGTATATACCTTATAGATAATATTTGATGTAATTTTTACATAAAAGTTTTCTAAAATCAGTTAGTTTAACTAAGTAGTAAAAATAAGTAGTAAAAATGATCAGTTCCATATTTTTCCAGTAAATATATCATAATATATTATTGTTGTCAGAGAATATATTGAAATTAATGATTTTATAACGAATAATAAATTATAAATTAATTATATAATACTTGAATTTATTATAAATGTATTGTTTTTTTTCTTTAAATATTATTTTATACAATGTTTTTAAATATATAATATAAAATATTTTTGAGAGTAGGCTTAATTTGCTTAATTTTTTTTGTTGTTTTTAGAGAATGTCATATTAATGTATTATTTTTTTATCAAAAAATATTCATTATATAAAATAAGCTTAATTGATTAAGTCAGAAAGCTTATTTTATGTAATAAGTTAAATGTGCAAATATGTCTTATTTTATCTTTGTTTAGTCTTTTTTATTATTATTATTTTAACTGAAAAATAAGAAGAAAAAAAATCCGCTTTCTTCATCCGATAATAGTTTTCATTTGTATGTCCTGTTTAATATGGCCTTGTCATGTATTTCATTGTAATCCTCATACTTTTGATTCATTCATAAGGCCACTAAAACGTTTACATAGAGTTTCCCACCAGAAAGCTTTTTCCCACAGTATGTACCATATTCCTCCCCTCTCGGATGGAGCCCAGTGTTTGAATCACTCCAGGCCAAGTGTTACGTTTATCCAGATGCGTTTCTATAAAGCCTCATAGAAGATGAGAATCTCTGTTCGAGTCAGTGCCGGACCAGAGTCCATTAGGAGAATCCCAAGAACCATTCTCCAGCGGGGGCCCTTGAAAAGTGGGCCGAGGGGGGATCTCTGGAGAAACTGTGATTGGAAGCAGATGTTGGCCCGAGAAAGCCATAGAGGAGGTGGGGAGGTTTCGGAAAATTCTCAGGCCTGAGTCTTCACTTTCTGGGCCCTGCCTCTGTCGACCAATCAGAGGACATCAGCGGCCCATTTGAAGGGAGTCAGGAGTGTCCCGATTGGTCGAGAGGCCGACCGTGGGCGCAGAGAGCAGATGTCCTGGGAAAGGCGTGCTAACTCCCAAACAAAACCCAGTAAACGAGAAGTGAAAACATTCAGAGCAGAGTTTGCATTCAGCCAGCTGCGCTTACATACGCACATGCACGCAGTGCACTTGTGCAAACATGTGCCTGGAATCGCGTACTGCGGCCAGCAGAAATGCACTCGGGGTTATAAATCTAGATGATGACGATTGCATAAGCACATTTTTCTTGTACATACCAAATATTACATTATTGATGTGGGTTTTGCAAGTGCAGCAAGAGGCCAGCACTTGCCTTTTTGTAACAATATGAGCATAATAAATGCACTTCATCAGGAGCTTTTAGCGCTGGAGTGTCAGGTATTGAATGCAGTGGAGATCGTCCGCTGACCCTCCGTCTACCACCTTTGCCTCTGCCCCAACAAACACACTCGCTTCTCATTGTACCTGTCTAGTGGTTTATAAGCTGCCATGCCTTCTGAAACAAAAATCAATCAGCATTCCTGATGGAAAGTCCACATTACCATCTGAAGACGTCTTCATTTCCCGTCTCAAATGCCAGGTCCCTAGCTTTTGGCCCTTCATGAATACGGTGTGGTCCCGACGAGGGACACGATGGGGTTGTGGAGGGGTCAGTGGCACATTATGGGAGTCCTGGACAAGGACAAGTGTAATAAAAATGCAAATCACAGGTAAAGCTTGGGCAACCCGGCCCCCTACACCCACATTATACACTTCCCACCTGTGGCTAAATCTGGGTCATGACGTCTTCACTCAGACTGAGAAACACGAGAGCGAGAAAATCAAAGTGTCTGCGAGATGCTGAATAAATGAAATTATATTTATAAGGTCTTTGTTGTTTTCCGATTAATCCTATTTAAATGTAAATACAAACTGGCCTCACAATGGTACAAATCATTTATTTGTGAACATAAATGAGTAGATTAACCCATTAATGCCCAAGGTTTTTGTTTATTTTTATTTGTTTTCTACGAGACAATGAATAATTAGAACAATTTGTTATAAATAATATATAATAATAGAAATATTTGCATTAGATTTAAATGTAAATGCAAACTGGCCTCACAATAGTATAGTATAGAAAAAAATGTTTTAGTCATAATTAGAATAATTATCTATTTAAATATTTGATATTCAAACAAACTAATGTTGCCATGTGCATTTCTGAGTAAACAAATATTTCCAGATGAAAAAACAAAAACAAAAAAAAAACATTTGGCACCCTTACCCCTCGGCTTACAGTAAATGGGTTAAAATAAATATAATTTGCAAGCAGATCATGAGTCATCACTGAAACCATGAGAATAGAGATAGATCAGACACTGATAGTCCAATAGGCTCAGTTATGGGGCTGTAATGAAGTCCCAAGACAGTGTTACTGATCCCTGGTAATATTGACCCGAACCAGATTCGACCGTTCAGGACAATGAGCCCAGAATAGAAAGCGCTGTTATGAAGAGGACATTGGGGAACCAGGAATGGGCATGTATTTCACAAGCTGTGGCGTAATGGAACCAGTGAGAGGAGCTTAACATGCGTCATGAGGGCCATCTCTCTCTCCATCTCCTCACGGGGATACATGGCACATTTTGTGAGTTAATTTATCACAGTACGATTGGGTTTTGGAGCACAGATAGCCACTGACAGGACCTGATGGAAGTGGCATAAAAATCATGCAGAAGTTCAGTCAGATGTCATTAGGTGTGTTTACATGCACTGAATCCAATCCAGTATCAGATTCTGAAAGATTCAGATTCAGTTTCCGCATTCAGAACTGGAGAAACTCACCATGATAATATTACCGGAGCCACTGCAAGTACAGCACTTGCTCAGCAATGGATCCTCTACAGTGAATGGGTGCCGTCAGAATGAGAGTCCAATTATTGTGGTTATCTGCGTTATTGTGGATTATAAACTCATATTTTGGCCCGAAGCAATGGTTGGAAGTTAAAAACATTTTGATGTTTTTTTTTTTTTCAAAACACGCAGCTTTTCAATTGACAAGATGTTGATTGATGGTCTGGAGTGGTGTGGATTATTGTGAGGTTTTAATCAACTGTTTGGACTCTCATTCTGACGGCACCCATTCACTGCAGAGCATCCATTGCTGACACAGTGATGTAATGCTACATATCTCCAAATCTGTTCCAATAAAGAAACAAACTCATCTACATCTTGGATGTCCTGATAGTGAATAATTTCTCAGAAAAAAATGTAATCATTTTTGGGTGAACTATTCTTTTAATATATTACGTTTGAAATTGTGTGTTTTTTTATTATTATTATTATGATTCTTTTAATTTGGATTATTTGTGGATACCTGTTATGTTTATATGTTTATGTTTGTATAACTAGTTATGTTTCTAGTTATGTGCACGCACTACTCCGAGTTGAAACTTTAAAAATAGTCATTATACTTGCAATTCTGTTTACTGCTGATGCCGCAGAAATTCACTCACTTTGATTTTGAGTTTTTGGGGCATTTGTCTGCTTGTGCTCTGGTGGTAGTAAGATGCAGGAGACAGCTGAGGCCAGCCATAGACTTTAGCATAAATATTTGTGCTCAGACTCCACACACATCTTCTACATAGGACGCTTGAAGCTCTCTCTCTGTGTGTGTGTTAGTGTGTGTGTGTGTGTGTGTGTGTGTGTGTGTGTGTGTGTGTGTGTGTGTGTGCGCATACTAGAGAGA